GCTTACAATGCTAATGCTGGCTTAATATTGCTAGCGCTGCTCATTTGATGAAGTCGGATATGCGTTCTCTGTGAGTGTTCATGAATAATGGATCAACTGGAACAGAGATTGTTAGCTCCAAAAGCTTGTCTTGCTCAAGAGCTGAAGCTGTTAAAGATGTCAATGTGAGGGCTGACGCCTCATTGTCATCCATTTGCACTTCCTATCGGTCTCATGAGCAGTTCTCACAATCGCTAGCTAGAATCTAGCTAGCAAGCCATCTATCTAGCTAGCGAGCCATCTAGCTAGCGAGCGAGCTAGCCATCCATCTGCCTGTCTGCCTGCCTAGTATATAACGTATCATATCAGTCATGATCATTTCAGCACCTTTCCCATTTTTGTATAGTTTCTTAATTCTCAAATCTTTTCTGTTGTTCTGATAAATATCTGAGCACCATCACCGTCCTTACTATAGAGCACTATGAAGTTGTCTGTAATAGATCATTGGTTGTCCTGGCAATGACAGAGAAGCTTTTCTCCTTATTCCAAACCAGCGTACTGTAAAATTGGTTGAGGAAAATCCCCAAAGTGTGTCTTGTCTATCTACAAACGAATGGCACTGGTACCAACAAAAATCTTGCACAGAGGGCGGGCGGGCGCGCACGCGCGCGCGCGCGTGTGTGTGTGTGTGTGTGTGTGTGTGTGTGTGTGTGTGTGTGTGTGTGTGTGTGTGTGTGCGCGCGCGAGCGCGTGTGTCCATTCTTCCACGCCATGTAGTCTCACAGGGCCTAAAAGTAGAGAAAGTAATTTCAGTCCACTCAACACCAACAGAGCAACAAACAAGTCTGCAGTTAAATGCTTGCAAAAAGCAATTAAGCCACGGGAGTTAAAGTTATTGTTAACTGTGATTAATGCAGAAAAAGTCACTGAAGGAGCACGAAACAAAACAGGAATCACTCTTATTTCTGTGTATAGTTGATTCTTTTCGGCGTCACAGTGGGAAGCAGACACGTGGACCAAAATCAGCGCCGTTTGTGTGGGACTTCTTCCAGCTATCTTAACTCTTTGTAACACACTCACGTCAGTTCACCTCTACCGCCTCACCTCTCCTGACAAATGAGGCCACTGACAGGCCGTGAGTTGCAGTGCATCAAGGACGTGACTCTACAGGGTCGGGGAGTTCAAAATGATACCAAATCCCCTGTCGGGGGCTTTTCCATTCTTGGACTTGCTTTTGGAATTTGTGTGCATCCCCAGGATAACACTGTCACGATGCTGAATGTCAAGTACAGATACTGTATTATGAGATCTTTGCACTCAGGAGTTGTTGTACTTGTGCATATCAAGAGCGCTAGAACTTTCATACTAAGAGGGAAAATGCAAAGGCAAAACCGCACTGCTCGGCAGAATGATCCCTTCTCTCCAAATTATTTTATTATTGACGGTCATTCTTTCAATGGCTCTGCCAGCTCTATTCACAGAGGTGCCCCACGACATGACAACACAGAGCGGTGAGGATGTTGAGATGGCGTGCTCCTTCCGCGGCGCAGGTTCGCCTTCCTCCCTGGAGATCCAGTGGTGGTACACCAAAGACCACAGAACCGGGCCCAAGACGCCTGCGCAGATCACAAACGATGTAAGCACTGTTTTTTGTTGTTGGAATCAAACTGATCCAGTACTGTAAATGTCGACACAAAATTAAAATTAAAACTCTCTCAGTCAATCACAAAAGAGGATCTCGTTTGTAAATAAGCGTAAATGGGCCGCTGCCCTGCAGATAACACACAGCTCACTTTCATGGTGAGCAATGTTGTACCAAGCAGCCCAGACAGATTGTTGTTGCCACACCCACGCATCTATTCCCAATTCAGTGGTCATCTTAATGATTCTTATGACCTGAACTAGATTTCTAGATCATCCTCTTTTTTTAGCCTTTCAGTGGCAAGTGGACCATGTAATGTGTGCTCATTTTTCGGTGAGGGCCAATCAGTGGTGCACGTTTCCAATTTTAACACTAACAAAGGTACCGAAGTTGTTTTGTGGGGCAGTAAAAAGGAGATAGAAGAACAGAGGGCCATAAAATGATTTCCATCGTCAGAAGAACACCTCGCGGGTCCACTTCACCAAGCATAATTAGCTTTGCTTTGTTAGAGAGTTTTGGAGCGAACCGATCCTGATTGAATGTTGGATTTTAAGATCGGTATGTGCATCTAGAGTACGGTAAGTATTATTTTTATCTTACATAGAGACTTTGATTGGGACTAGGGTCTTGGACTAAGCCTAAAGCTTACCGTGTGACAATCCTACATGATCGACCATTAGTCCCCCAAGCACAGAAAGGAGTGGATAATTCCTAATTGGCTGTTGCCAGCACTGGAGGAACAGGTTGACTCCCTCCCAAGATGGGGCAACTTAACACTCTCCTGCGGCGCCTCCTGACATTGTAATTGGCACTGAAAAATCAATCGATTTGGAAAACATCTATGCCATGCATAATTCATACCGATGCCCGAAAGAAATGCATCAATTGCACGCACATATTTTGCGGAGCTCAGAAATGGGTGGCTGTGGAGGAAGACTTGCGCAGTATCGGAATGCATTTGAGAGTAGAAAAAAAAATCATACATACAGATCAGCGAGCAGAAAAAAAAGATTGAAGGAAAATAACAATCTGAAGAATAGTGATAGGAATTCCGGCTCTTCTGAGCCAAACGGCTCTTCAGACGATTAAATTAGTTTGTGACCAGAAATTATGTCAAATTATGCAAACAAATGTTAAAAAAAAAAAAAAAGTGCAATGCTGTTGTGTTTATGATAATAATATTCCTTAATTTATTCACTCTACATAGTGCAAACAAGTATTAAATACAAAAAAAACTGTTTGAACTTTTACTTTAAGCGTTTATCTTTTTCTTATAAACTCAAGTTGAAATGTATCCATATTTTATTTCTTTTCACTCATTTTTCCTAACTTTTACTCACCAGTGTGTCTGCATTGTCTCGACTAGTGACAAACCCCATACACATGAATGGCAGAACTGACTAGCAATTTTTTTTGTGCAGGTTGCTCCTCTTGAGGAGAAGTTGAAAGATGCCACTAAAATCAGTGTAAGTACAAAGTCGTGTTTCCACCAAGCCTTTCCGTTGACCTTCACACATTTGGAATAACAATCCCTCCCCAACCCAGAAAAAACTTTTTTGCATATTTGATCAAACTTATGAAATCAGTAATGACCTGTGAAATCATAAGCCCTCTCTAGCCCCTTCTTGTACCTCCAATTTGATTTGCTGGAAACCACTGCGCCTGAGGAAAAACAACCAGTCAGAGACAGCAGGCGTGACTGATGAGCTGGTCTGCAATTTGCAATCATACCCGCGCTGTCCTCCGCTGTGCGTGTGGCTTTATTTTCAAGCAAAAAAATCCGTCATAAGTGGGTAAAATACTGTGGCAACATCACACTTTGACACAAATATCAAGTCATTTCATAATGCATTGACCTTAATTCTTAAAACATATCAATAACGGAGATACCTGGGGAAAAAAAACAAGATCGCTCGATCGACTGTTTTTTTTTTTTTTTTTCCACACTGATGGTTTAAGAGCTGTTCAGTTATTTATAACCGAGATGAGAATTTCCTTGACGGTTAATGTGCAAAATGTTTTGGCTTCAATGTCAGTGTCATATTGAGCCAAATCATGCTTCCTGAGGGCATGTCGTGATTTTTACGCTACACTCCATTCCGCCTTATTTGCTTCCATTTAACAAATAAAACCATAAGTCGGTGTGCCTCTCAGGTGGTGAAAGTGGCCGGCAGCAACATTTCACACAAGCTGCGCCTGTCCAGCGTCAAGCCGTCGGACGAGGGCACCTACGAGTGTCGCGTCATCGACTTCAGCGGCTCTGTGGCCCAGCGCCATCACGTTCGGGCTTACCTGCACGTGGAGCCAACTCAAGGCTCCGACGTCCGGGTCCACGGATCACGGCAGCGGTCAGACCAGTGGAGCAGCCAGCACAGGAGAGAGGAAGATGTTCATGACTGAGCAGGTGGAAGCTGATCATCATCATCATCGATCGTCATCATCACTGCCGTGTGATGCAAGTGTTCTCAACTGGTCTCTTTGTATGCCACCGTTTGTTTGTATACTAGATCACAGTGATGCAAGATTCCAGGAAAGACATTTTTATTGGCGCTGCGGGTCATGCATTTGCTTTGCTTTAAATGTATGAATGTAGTTTTCAGGTGTAGAACCTGTGCAGCCATTTTTTTTTGTGAACAGGTGATCATGAACGTGACATGTTTTTGCAAGCTGGAGTACCCTGAGGAAAAAAAAAATTAGCAAGCACAGGGCAAATATGCAAACTGCACACTGATAAGATGGACATCTGAACTGCAAGAAAACGTAATATTGTATATCATAAAATTTAAAAACATTCCTTTCATTAAGTCCGTGTCATTATTGATTTTTGAAAAATGGATGTCCCCCCCCCCCACACAATTTTAAAATGGCTCATATCTCTAAAAGGCTGCAAGGCTTTTTTGTTTGTTTTTTTTGGTTTTTTTTTTAAACGTTAGCCGTTTAGTTCAGTATGTTTTTTTTCAGTTGCTTTCATCAAGATATCTGTCTCGTAATTCATTTTGTCCACCGCAAAACAGTAAAACAGTTTGTGTCAACCCTCACGACTATTTTGTTATGCGTGCCTTTCAACAGACGTCCTACACGTAATCATATTGACTTTTTTTTTTTCCAGAAATTAAATCTCCTTAGGCTACGATCGCTCCCAAAGCCTTATTTTCAACACGTTTAAAATAATAATTGCGGGTTGTGGGCAGTAGAGGGCAGTGCTGTCACATAACAATGGAGCTGCCAAAGTAAAAAAAAAAAAAAAAATGGTCAGTTGGAATTCAAACTATATCTTCGTTTATGATATCATAACACTTTGTGCCTTTTTGTGTGCTTGCAGAACGCCCCCACAAATGGTAAAATGTGATGGAAACCATAGAACCAGAAATGAGTCATGTAACATTGGAAAGAGTCTGTTTGCACATTTAATTACATATACAGTACACAAATGGATTATATGTAGCAAATGCTAATGTAAAATGACATCCCACGCCAGACGACAGCGCTTTTGCCAGTTTGAGCCAGGAACAAATTCATTCACTTTGTTTTGACATTTGAACATCAGTCAGTTGAAGTCACAGAATGACTTGTCTTCTTTGTAGATTGCACTCTATCATAATTTATTCTTGGTTGCTTTAAATTGTTTGTGCAAAGGGGAAAAAAATACCGAAAGGCAATTTTAACTCGTGCAATGGCACTTTTAAAAACATCATGCCACATCAGTCTTCAAATTAGCATTTTAAAGAAACGCATGTTTAAAAATGATATGCCGTTTTTATGTACAAAAATATTGTGTAATTGAGTGAAACAATTCTTCGGTCACATTACACATTTTGTCTCTGAAAAAAAAAAAAGATCGGGCGATATATTTTACATGCAATGCAAAATAAAGGTAGATGGCGAAGGCTTCCTTTTCCTTTTGTCTCCCCAAGAGGAAGTGTTGTTAGTACAGCCCGATCACTTCCCAATGATGACATTTTTGTAGCCTTTGACGTGACACAACTTGCTGCTGTCAAAATCGACCACCAGCTTTCTCAGTCCACTGTGGGTGGGCGTGAAGTACATTTTCACCTTGGCGTCTTCTCCAGGTCCCACTGCAGAGCGTAGCCTGCGGGCCAAAGTAAATATTAGTGCCAAGCAATCTCACCGGCCTCTGATAAACTAAATATTTACGTGACGAATCACCATTCATAGTCTAATCGTGGCAGTTATAGCTTTTTCAACAAACGAGAGAGCATTAATGTTTGAACTGCTCAGACTTTAAGTCGATAAGAGAAAATGTGGACAATTTAACTTTCATCCTCAGCCAGTAAACAAGCAAACGTGTGTTTGCCTCCGGTATTGATTGCGATCAAAGTTAACATTCACCCACCCAGTTTCACAGTGGTGGGAAGCAATGAAGTACAAATACGTTGTCGCTGCTCTGAACGGGGGAGCTCGCCATTTTAAAAAATAAAAACACCTTCCTCAGGTGCAAAGGTTTCTTGTACTGTATATCATTTTTTTTACAGATAGTATTTATCATGTAGTTCTTCTTCTACTGTAACCATTTTTTTCCAGTCGGATGAGGATCTGTACATCTAAGTACAACGTGTGAGTTCTTTTGCCACCTTTGCATTTTCTGTAGTCCTTGTCTGAGACCACAAGCGTCAAACTCAAGGCCCGGGGGCCAGATCTGGCCCGCCACATCATTTTATGCGGCCCGCGAATGCACATCAAACATGTCAACTTCCATGATGCTTGCTAAAATCTTAACCAAAATTTTAAGTTCTCATATGTAATAAATAAGAGCTATATTCTAAGCATTTTTTTGTTGCCAAACTCCGTCATTACAGTCACTTAAACAATAGTTTAATAAACCATTATTATTGACTTTTTTTATGTGGTTTCAGTCATAACGGCCCTGCAAGGGAAACGGGAACTAAAATGTGGCCCAAGACAAAAATGAGTTTGACACCCCTGTCTGAGACTTTCAGAAGTTGTGTTAAAGATGACTATTCGTTTAGAATATTGAATAGGTAAGAATTGAGAATATAGAATATGCCACTTTTGGTCATAAAAAGAATACACCATAGTTAACAGAGGAATCAAAATTTTGATGTACACTTTTGCCACACTCTTGTTTGTTTGTTTTTTTTTTAAGATAAAAGATACCCCGTTTATAAATTAAAAGTTCATTTCACAGAAAATGTGATCAAAGTATGGATCATTTTGGTCTTAATATCGGTGCAGTTTGGCCGACTTGCTGCTTGTGCCTTTTAACTCGAGCACAAAGAAATATATTTAAATGAAAATGACTTGTCCTGTGCAGGTAAGATTCTGATATAAAGCCAGTCAATGACAAAGTGGACACGATCTCTCAGACCTCTCAGAGATGACCCTTCCTCCAGTCAGGTTGGCCCCCTCCATGCTGAAGCAGCAATTCTCCAACGGCTCCGGCAGAGGATTTTTTAGCGTGATCTCAGCCGCTAGTTTGCGATTCTCTTTGGGTTCACCCAGGATCTGAAAAAGCCACCAGTCAAAGAGACCTCCCCGGGACTGCAGTCCAAACGTGCGCTTCGTCACCACTCCAGATCGGAACACTCACTCGGACTTGAATTTCAGGATTGTCCAGCACGATATTTCTCACTGCCAGCGTTGCTTCCCGGGTGGCGTAGTCGAACAGGAGAGCCGCCAAACGGATCATGTTGTCCTCAGTGAGCAGCCCACCGTATTTTGAATAGTTGAGCCTTAGCGGAACCTTCCTGGCTGGAAGAAAATAATGCAGTTAGGGCTAAATTGATAAGTTTGATTGAAACAATTCACTGTCTTGATCATACTGAACAATTTTGAGGATATTTTCATTTTTGTATTTTTCTAGGGCCACTATCAGAATCGTCATCACTTTTCTCTCACGGGTTGAGAACCCGCGCTTTTTTGTGCAGTTATATTTTCAAAACCTTGCTACGATGACCACTGTCAGGTTTGCTCACCTCCTCCAGGTGACAGCTCAACATTGAGCAAATCTTTGAAGCCACAGTTCCCGCCCTGGAAGCCATTGTAGGACACGGCGCAGGACCCAAAGAGCAAGCGGCACTTCTTGTCGCTCGATGAGTTGTTGGTAACCACAGCAAACACCTCAAAGTCGCAACCCTTCTTCATCTCGGGTGACACTTTGATGCTCACGTTCAGGCCTTCGCTCTCCTTCGTCTGCAGGAGCTTGTTTTGGTGGTTGGCCTTCTTGAAGGCCTCGCGCTCCTCATCAGAGCCTGAGCGTATGGAAAATTTTGACAAATTTCATAATGAACGAACGTGACCCTTTACGTCGTGACTTCACGCGTTGCCGCTTACCTTCGGGATGCTTGTAGAGATGAGTGATGTCTTCTCTATAGTCGCTGCCAATGCCTTTGGTGCTGATCTTCTTTCCCACCAATTGGGTCGAGGTAACTTTGGATGTGCTGCCATCTTTTTTCATCATGGTGGTGATGACGTCAGCGTTGACTTCAGCAAAGACAAAGGGGGCGTCATACTTGTACATGAGCTCACCCTCCTTGATGGCCCGGACAGGGATGGGCCCGCAGCAGAACACTCCTGGAAAAAGACAAACATGTGTGTTGAGACTTGTTCCTCGTCCCTCTTTGGAGATACAAAACATTTGATCGATGAAGTCATCAAAAAAGGATCAGTTACCGTCACTTTTTTCTTGAGGAGTGGGGTCGCTGGCTTGCCAGCCATTATAAGCAGAACCAGTTAGGTCGGGTCGGGTCATCCAGCTCTCCACCCAGCAATGGTAGTTCCTGCAGATGCCACCACAATAAGCACAACTCAATACGCAAGATACACGATTCACTGATATCATTGACCTCTGAATCTCTGCTGCCAATGTTGGTTCTATACTTAAAAAACAAATCATGATCATTCTTGACTCACTCTAAACAATACAGACAATTTTAAACATGGATTTTGAACATCATTTTCTTGGAATGTGGGTAGAAGAGTATTATAGATCGAGAATATTCACAAAATACACACAAAGCACATACAGAATAACAACAGCTTCACACAGGAACACCAGAGACACGATTTGAACCCCTGGCCTTGTGAGGCAGATGTGCGAACTACTTGCTCACTGTACAGGTTCCTCCCATGTTGGAGGGGAAAAAAAATCAAACGATTTTTTTCTGGAAAAATATACCTCAATGTAAAAGCATCACATATAACTCCGACACACACAACATTCTAAAAAAAAAAAAACGACAAAACATTACTTGTGATAGTATCACACATATTGTTCTGCCACCGTCACGTCTGTGTTAGATGTTAGTTTTGCTTTATCTTAGTTTCACTGCACAGGGGTTAAAAAAAAAAGTATTTCAAATGCTGCACTTTACAATTTTAAAACGGATACCAGATCATTTCTTTGGATCGAACGAGTTCTCCATTTTCGTTGACGTAGCGCTCAATCGTCAGGTTTCTGTTGACGTCATGGGCTGAGTAGTAGTTGGTGACAACTCTGCAGGGGATGCCGAGAGCTCTGGAAACTACGTGACACAATACGGAACCGCGTGAACACAAAAACGTACAGTGCATCATCATATCTCACATCCGCTTCTGCATGGTGCCGATCGAAGGCAAAATGTATGTTTCATAGAGATAGTGACGTTGAACTATCTTACTTGAGCAGGCAACAGCGGCGAACACCCAGCACTGTCCGAAACGAACAGGCTGACAAGCTTGTGTTTGCCAGTTACGCAGAATCTCCACACTGCCCTTCCAGAACATGGGGCTCACTCCTCCGTCAAAGTCATTTGTCCAGTTTCCCAGCAAAACTCCTTTGTCATCATTACAATTCACCTGCAAGGCAAAAACGAGGAATGAAAACAAATTTTGATAATTAAAACAAACATAAGAAGAAGAACCTCACCATGGCACTGACAACTCTGGACACATAGATGGGATTCCTCCTGCCCGAACAGTCTTTGCCTGGATTCCGCAGGCATTTGGGATTCATATCCAGAATCCTCAAACACACATCCAGGATTCCACTTTCAAACTGTGCATTGAAAAAAAAAAAAAGAAAATGTTATCGACACCCTTCTTCTGAAGAACAACATATGTTCGATAAATTATTTTGGAAACCATTGAACAGGTGCTGATGAAGCACATAAAGCTTCACTAATCACATAAGCCATGTGCCGGTGATGCCAAGAGCGGAATTAGACTGGAAACAATAACACCCCTCTTCTGCCTGCTGTCAGATTCATTAGCATTGATTAAATAATGGTCGGCTCTGCGGTTATGTAACGCTGCACATTCCTCTGGATCTTGCAGGCATTATTTTGAAGTTTTAAAAAACGTGCACGACGCCGCAGTTCTTTGAAGAACAAACAAGACGATGCACGTGTGAGGTAAGTCTGGCGACTTGAGTGTTGGTATTGGTACCTGGCCAAAGTTCCACGGAGTTGCTATTGGATGGTTGACATCGCCTTGAAAGATGATGCCATCCTGGGACAAGACATATTCTTCCAAACTCTCCTTATTGTCCAGATATACGGCATCTCCTGTTGCCAAGAGACACCACCAAACAAACTGGTCACAATCAAATAAACAAAACACAACAAATACATCCATAGCTCTATCTAATGTATCTGTATCTCTGTCTGTTTACCAGACATGAACAATAAATTCATTGTCATGCTTAAATGGCAGGATAAGAAGCAGCGGGAGGTTCCGTTTACCCACCTGAGCACCAGGGGTTAAACAGCAGGATGAACTCAATGCGCGCAGAGCGTCCCATGGTCAGGATGTAACGTCCGATGGGTGCATCGGGGGCGGCGCAGAGGGACAGCGCCACGGTGTCTCCGGGGGGGCTGACGACCGCCGCGCTCCAGCGAGAAGTGTCAATGTTGGCAGACAGGCCGAAGGAGGCCCTGGTGCCATATTGTTCAGAAGGTTGAGGACCTGGTGTAGTCATTATGGTTAGAGGAGTGAAACATTTGAGTATGGCCAACGATCCTCGAGGGAGCTCTTTCAAACCCGCCCAAACTTTAAATCTCTTAATGTGCACAAACAGTGAAATGGGACATAATTAGGAGTCCAAGGATTTGGAATTCATGTGCCCTTAAATGGTCAATGTTTTTGGATTTGCTGTTCTGGTAGATTACATAAGCCTCAGTCTGGTCATGCTAAATTCCTTCACATCTTTCACTGCCCACTAAACCAAATGTCTCACGGCATAAAGGCTCCTCTTTGAACCTGTGAAAATACGCTTAACTTGATAATGGGAGACGCTGTTATCAGTTTATACACACATCTCCTGTTGGCAAGCGCCGCTTCCTGATGATTTGTTGGCAAGCGGCGTTATCACCGTCGGCGTGAGACATTGGCTAAATGTTAGATGACAAGGAGATGAGTTGATGAATGAAAATACGTTGCCGCATTTGGAGAAAAGAAAACACGACGGCATAAATAACAGCCGGCTACGGCTTCACTAAATGAGTAGAAAACAAAAAGAGCCGGTTTCCTTTTTCTCATCCATCAACATCACATCTCATTTCCTCTTTTCCAAGCGTCAAGTGACAATAGGCTGCGTCAGCACGAAACGGGTCGGTGATGCAGTGGGTGTGTCCAGAATTCCATTGACATCCTAACAGGATGCACCCACAATAGGTCACTTTGCACCTTTGAAACCTGGCGCATATTCCAGACAGAAGCTTTTTTGTTGTTGTTGTTGTTATTGGAGACAAATGTGAAACATTGACTAAATAGTTACTTGCTGGGGGAAAAAAAAAAAAAAAAACTTCCACAAAGATTCCAGCTTGAGTTTTTCTCGCTGATTCTAATTCAGAAAGGTGTCAAGCGAAGCGTCACCTGTCTCGGCAATGCACTCCAGAGAGCTGAGTCCTGGCTGGTAGCTTCCTGAGCGAAGATATAAGCTGATGTTGAACGGCTGGCCCCTCCTCACAATTAGGCGGTCCACGCCATTGAGGTCAGTGTAATGGTCTGTGTTGTTGAAGTCACACTCCAAGTCCCAGCGATCAATGTCCAGAGCTTAATAAGACAGGGAACATTTCCAACACAATTGGCAAAGGCATTGCGCAATGTCTGACATTCCACTAAATTCAAGATGGATCTGCACGGTGGTTGACTGGTTATCACGTCCGTCTCACAGTGCGGAGGGGCAGTGTTCGATTCCGGGCTTTGGCCTTTGTGTGTGGAGTTTGCATGTTCTCCCCGTGCCGGCATGAGTTTTCTCCGGTTTCCTCCCACATTCCACAAACATGCACGGCAGGTTAATGGAACACTCGAAGTCAACGTTTGGGAACTCCGGTTCCTTGAGAGCCATATCCTGACTATTTTGCATGTGGCATAAGCACATAAGAAATGTAAATGCCTCATTTCTTTATTGTCACATTTTCAGTTGGTAGTCTTTCTTTTTTTTCTTTTTCGTGTGACCTTTCGCATTACAAGTACATATTGCAGTGAAGAGTGGAAGGTGTGCGTTAGGTTCGTTTCGGGACTTTCCAAAGCTTCTCATCACTTGTTTTATGATGACAACGGTGCACTGCAGGACTCCTTCACAAATGAAGGTGGAGAACATTTGCTTCCATTACACTCATAGACACACACACACATATATATATCTGCACACACACATGCACACACACACACACACACACACACACACCGTAGAGCCGCTCCTTCTCTCCAGGGTGAGCCGTGACTCAAACGATCCCACCCTCTGATTTCCTGTTCAAACAATTTGCATTTATTGCTTTCGTTGTTGGTCTCCTGCCAAAACAGGCCACTTCCTAACATGTCCAAAGGTTAACAACCCCCCGCGTCAGTTTTGTCTTAGTGGCTGCACACAAACACGAGGTTGCGATATTATGGTCAGGTGAGAGACCAAAGTAAACACAGACGAAGCCTCGAAGACTTCCTGCTGTTTTATGTGAAGCCCACAGGGATGCAGTCTGAGCACTGCCCAATTACACGCTGCGGTTTTACTGACTTTGGTTTGTGCTTTCATTGAGCAGATGTCAGTTCAGCGATTGGAGCAAATTCCCCGTAAGATGCCAACATGACGTCGCCGGGGAGAAACGAGGCTCAGCTTTGCTGTTTGGCCTTAGCGCAGCTTTGGCTCGTTTCAATTCAGTTGTTGCGTGCAAATATCGTCAGGAAGCAAAGTTGAGATATTGTTGCGCTGGTGTTAGTGAATTCAGAAACAATCTGCAAATAAAAGTCATGAAGCAATTCATCCAACAAATCCCTTTTTATACATTCTTTTGATGAGAGCCACCTTCAATTGCACTCACACATGAGAGGCCAATTTTAAGATGATATTAACTGGAGCCAAGTTTAAATATATCTAATCTACTTGCACGTGTACAAAATCCAACAGCGCAAAGGCATAATCCACTCCCACTCACTGGCTATCATCTACCCACTACACACCAAGTGGAACTTCAATAAGAGCAGCTGAGACCAGGCCAGAGTTTACCTTATAAGGCAAAAAAAACAATAATCATGTAGCTGCATGTAGCTTTTCGGTGAAAACATGAATTGAACTGTGGGAATTGTACATTGAAAAAAAAAAAAAAAGCGTGTGAGACATTTTATTTGGATGCTTTTTGCAGCAATCCCGGAGCTGGAAAGCAGATGAGACAGTTCTAAAAACAGAAGTGTAACATGGAAACATGTTGTTTGAAAATGTGACGCGATTGAAAAGCTGGGTGGAATTAAAAAAAAAAACAAATCCTAATATCCTTTGTAAAACTTTGAATATGCAAAATTGGGTGGTTATGCAGGAATCCTGTTGATCATTTGAGCTGTATCCACACTTTTTAAATAATATGACTTTATTCTCATCTATACCATTATGGAATTTCTATTCTAATATTCCAATTTAATCTCATGACAACCCCCCCCCAAAGATCTGATTTTCTTCACGATATGATTATTTTTTCATACTATAACTTTATTTATACCTCATTTGGATTTTAATCGCAATGTTATGACGTGTTGCTGGCGTCCAGTTGACAACTCGCTTTCATTTTAAACACAAGAAGCTAAAGATAGTTTGTGGCATGCTAGTAATTGTCCACATTGACAATAAAGGTCAACGGCCAATTTCAGTGATTCCTCCAGGGAGGTGTTGGAATTCCTCCCAGGGGGTGGAGGGGTGGGGAGGGGATGCTTTGCTGGGTAGGGGAAAGCGGCTAAGTCCCAGCTGCTTGGATTCTATTCTAAGTGCTCGAGTTTCGGAAGGTTCAAATAGCTGGGTGATTTATTATTCTTATTTTTAACGTGTGTACTGTACATGCTTCGAGGAATGTTAGCTGTATGCAGGACATGCAGACAAAGTGACAGCATCCCAAAAGTTTAAGTAACGAAAGAAATAAAAACAACAGCGGTGTTAATTAATGGTCAACATCAATGTATCATCCTTGTCATTAAGTGCTTCAATAATTAGATTGAGACTAATATTAAACAACAGAGGGAAATTTTGCATAAAATGAAGAGACAAGAAGAATAAATGACTTTTCATGATGAATGAATGAAGACTCAAGTACTAATAAACAAATTGGTCTGGCTTTGCCTTACCTTGAGCCATGTCTGTGTTTTGGAGAAGGAATGTCACACGTGGAACACCTTAATGGAAATAAAGTGTGCATTTGCTCTGATCTGCATGTTATTTGTACTCTCCCCCCTCCCCGTGCCAGTGTGCTGTGTGGGCGTGACGCGACCCTCCCCTCAAAAAGACATGAGAGGGGTAGGAAAGCCATTCCCACCGAGTCAATTCACAGTTGGGTTACAGTGGAACTTCCCTGCACTGAAGAAGTGCGCTTCTATTGCGTTTTGTCGGTCGCTGCACAGTGGCCACATAAGGCAGACTTGTTTGGGATGATTCAACGATGACGTCATGACGCCTTTTAAGAAGTAACTAACGGGAGGGTAAATTACTGGCAGTCGCAGACGACACAGTGGCTTACTTAATACTCAAGTGAATGATGGCCTTCTTTCCACCTTTTAACTGCAATGTGAACATTACTCAGCTATTCATTTGCACAGCGCTGCTCGAATGGACACCATTGAACAGGGATTGCACGACGCCGGGGTTAGCCCCATCAGAAATCTCCATAGCCCCAGTCAGGCCCCTCCAGCCATTTATTTGATATTCTTGAATATATTTGGCATTACTGTATTTTCTCAGCTTCATATGTATCAGTCAGCCTTCAGCAATGGGATAGACGCCATTTTGTGAGTACAAGCTGTGTTGGACCATATGATCACTCTATATACAGGGAGAAAAAATGGAAGAAGCTAAAATGGCTTCAACTCCTCTGAGAAGACTTATTATGAAAGCGTCATTTCCGCATTTTACGGAATGGAAGCGTGTTAACTTCCCATCAGCGATAACATCAAATGCTTTAAAAGCTACTCGCAATCAGCTGAAATGACGTCCCGATGGACAATTACTGCTGAAAAAATATGGATGGAATCACTGAAATTGAACTTCACGCCGATCAAAGATGTTGAAAGTTTAATCATAGGCTCCAAGCTTGAATGTCTGATGACACTCATTCCTGTGAATAGTTTTATGCTCATTTTCGTTTTCTGGGTAAGAAGAAGATTTGGAAATCCGTAGGTGAGTGTTCTTCATGCTCCCCGAATGCCGATTTGTGTCAAAGATGTTGAAAGTTTAATCATCAGGCTCCAAGCTTGAATGTCTGATGACACTTATTCCCGTGAATAGTTTTATGCTCATTTCCGTTTTTCTGGGTAAGAAGAAGATTTGGAAATCCGTTGTTCAGAGGATGTGGCGAGCCAGATCAGAGTTTGACACCTGAGCCTCTGCACTCACCAGAAACACATAAAAGACCAAAATATATGTTTAATCTGAAACGACTGAAGTAGAGATGTTTTATGAATGAGATAAAAGTAAACCACCGTTGCCGTGCCATATCGTGCTCACACCAAGACACGACTGAACGTTCATGATGCACTTTCATCGTAACTCTTTAGAGAAAATGAGATACGTGCGGCTTTATGCTTTGAGGCACTCCGGGGCAGACTCGTAGTAACACACGAGCGTTACATCACACCAAGAGTGAAGCCAAAGCCAGGCTTGTGTCCAAAACCGCACTGTGGAAATGACTTCAGATCTTTGCCAAGGAAGTCTTTGGCAAGTGATTTGTACTTTTTTTTTTTCCTCAATGAAATACTTAGAAAATAGCCACAAGGGAAGATGAATCACAAGGAAGTACAGTTTTATCTTTTATCTTGCCGTGGCAAAAACATATGCAAGCGGAAGCGTGTCAGCACAATTTGTTTTGATTGTGGTTGTCGGTTTAATGTGATTATCGGCGTGGAGGTGTCCGATACAATAAATTATTCATATTACAAAACAGGTGTGCAAGCGTAGTCCTGCTTGTTCAAGAAAAAAAAAAAAAGAAACCACCAACTCAGCATGAAATGGGTATTCTGGTTGTGTTTTGTAGATTTGATTTATTATTAGAAAAATATGAGGTGCAAATAAAAACAGTAAAAAAAAAAAAAAAAAAAAAAAAGCAAACAAATCAAACAGAAAGGCGTACGACTCTTAACATCAGTAACATTAGTGTTGAAAAGACACGTTGTGCTTACATGAAGCCGGATACATATGTACAAAAGGTATCAAATAATACAACGATACGTCTTTGTAACCATCAGTAATTGTACCCTCAAACTGTTATTTAGAGACGCAGACGGCGATTCATGTCTGTATTATTATTATTCCACACTGCATTCTTCAGTGGTTGTTTTAGCTTGCGCAAACTGAGAATAAACAGAAACTCGAATACCGTTTATGTGGGTTAACTTCCATCGATACAAAGCTGTGCCAAGTGTATATTTGATAACTGATCAATGCTAAAAGTGTGATTAGAGATTAGAAAACCAATCTGTACAATATCATACCGAGTGATTGAATGCATTATCTCCTGCTACAAAGAATCATGGCCCTCTTGGGTACTCTCAATCTGGGGGTGGAAAAAAAAAAAGAAAATTGAGTGAGCTAATCAGAAAAACAAACAGAAAACGTTATCTACACTGATGTCTTAGCGCACACTTTTACCGTATTTCGTGTGAGAGGTCAAACCTCAGTGGACTTGCCAACATTTGAGTTCTGTGACAAAGAGTTGTTTCGGTTATGGCAAATGTGATAATATAAAACGAAGCTTGCTCGCAGACAAAATGAAGAAATGTTATTGGACGACGTCGTTTCGGTGCTGCACCTTAGCACAGAGCCGATTCTTGGCCTGAAGTGCAACTGCTGCTCGGCTTTGTTCAGAGGATCTGCACGCTCCAGTTGGAATGGATCCCGCCGCCTCCCTGACAGCGGTGGCGGCGGTGCAGACTGAAGACGCGTCCTCGGCCTCCCTTTCCGGAGCGGAGCGATCACTGCGAGCGCAGCTGCTGAGGCCGCTGACACTTTCTCCTGAAGACTCCGAGCTGTCTACTGCACAGAGACAACAAACACCAAGTCAGGGTAGGATGAAGGGATGAGCTGATCGATCTGAAACTTCCAAATGGTAAATGACATGTTGATGACGAAATTAACCCTTTCAGGGCCAGCGGTTACTACAGTGGACAGTTATAGTGTGCATGAAAGGGTTCAAGCTCAAAGCCATCACATCCATTCCATTGTGGTTGAGTTTGAGAGGCAAAACCTTGAACACTCACTGTCCAAATATTTGGACCACACTGTACATTTTGATTCTTCAGTTGGCGGTTGCAATTGACAATTACACAATAAGTTGTGACTCCCACTCTCAGGGTCGAGGTCGTCCTCCTCTAGAACCCCTGCCGGTGATACGTGTCCTTCGAAGCCACTTATTAACGCCTTCTGCTGTGGCCCACCGAAATACGCTGTCAGGGACACGGAGCCCAGTCCTGAAGAAGAGGAGGAGGACGAAGTTCTCCGTGACCCGGCAGATTTTGTTTGGGCCCCAGGATGACCGTTGTGCGGTCCATACGATCCGACGTGGGTCAGCACCTTGTTTTCTATGGAGGGCAGCAAAAACACAAATATGTTTGATCATAACAAAATATACACTATTATATAATCCATCCATCCATTTTCTATACAGCTTATCTATTCACCAGACAAACACAAGGGCACATAAAAACAATAACAGCATTTGCATTCACATTGATGGACAATTTAGAGTGTCCAATAAAATCATGGGCATTTTTTTTAGAATGTGCGAGGAAGCCGTAGTATCCTCAGGAAATGGAGGCCGGAACCTCAGATCTGTGAGCCAGACATGCTGCTTATATTATCCAATAGCAATGACAGCGAGTATGAGTGCACCTCTTCCCATCAGCCCACAGTCAACAGCTCTGTCACTGATAGCCGCCTCACTGGGTTGGATGTCCATGAAGGGTTTGTTTCCAATTCCCATAAAGACTCTCTCTTGCATACGGATCTCTGACAGGCACACACACCAAAATAAATACATAAATAAACAAATAAATAAATATAAAGTCTTTGTTTTAGAAATGGGTGGACTACAATGCATGTGTGTGTGATATCTGTGTCAATTTAAATATACAGTATATATTGAATGATTGATTGAACATATAAACACAACATGAAAGACATAAAAATAAAAATAAAAATCTAAAAAAAAAAAAATCAATACATATCTTGGTCCAGTACAGCTTTTATGAAAATTTTTTATTAATGCCGAATCAATATTAAGAGTCAGTAGACCTTATCTTTTTAGTCTTTTCACAATATTTAATATTTCTTTATCTTTTATAGCATTAAGGAACAAAGTGGATGAATTGTTAATATATTTCTTGATTATGGAATTTACTTTGCTAGTTCGCGACCATCATGAATAAATCTGTTATTTTATCAAGAATAACATTTTTATCCTTCTTTATTTTAGAATTTAATATTCGCCGTGTTTCTTGTGTGTTACCTCGGTTGTGTAGCGCCTGATCCCAGAGGATCCGTTCCAGGTCCTTGGTCCAGGCCTCCTTCACTTCCCGGCTAAATGCTTGAAGTGTGTACGTGTCTTGGGTTTTCCGCTTTCGGAACCAAATCTCAAAGCAAAGGCCTGTGTCGCCAGTGTTCTGGGTCATGCCAACATCTGACGTCTGTGTACAAACACCAGGATCATTAGTATTAATTATCTGGGGTGGCTGGGTGTCGTCACTAGACTGGACCTGCAGTTTGCCTTTATTGGCTGTTTGTCATAATAAAGGTAATACTGCATTCATGGATGGACCAGTGTGTGTTTTTTTTAGCATGTATTAGAAGAAAAACAATTCTCAGTTAAAATATGAACGCGTGGTGGCACGGAGTGAACATGGCGTCCTAGGATATTGGTCATGTCTCACCATGTCTCAGTTCAGAAAAAGTTTTGTTATTGCAGCAAGCACATGCAGGCAAACACACCACACAGACCTCCTCAGTCCACTCACCTGTTGCATAAGAGGAAGCGAAGGCAACAGGCAACACGTATATTGTGCAGTTATGTGTATATTCTGGCATCTGTCAGTAAAATTCCATGACTACATATTGAGAAAAAAAAAACAGTGCACGTGCATACCTTGAATGACTGCTTGTAGACGTACGTATCATTCCCCACATCTGTCTTTCTGGTCTTGCTAAAGAGGATGAGTTCTTGAAAGAGGAAAATATGACGGGAAAACTTTTTCTTCCTGAACGTTACAGAGAACTCATCCTGGCGAATTAACTGCCCTTGCTCCTTGAGATTAACCTGCAGGGGACAAAAAAAGAATGATGCCAAACCTCACTCGGGATGGAATTCTGTTATTTTTGCATATTCTGTAACACAAACCATTTATTCACAAAACAGACGGAATATTTCCGATGAAAAATAACTTCTGATGGGAATTGACATTGACTGCCCAGCCCACAGCACCTTACATTCCACAGAGCAGACGGAAGACGTATTTGCAATCTGAATTTGATGCAATTTGGCCCATCCCAGAAGAACGATGACTGATCATGATTGATGCCACTCCTGCCTCAGCCTGCTCGCCCCCCTTGTCAGTCGTTTCCATTATTCATCATCAGCGCATCTCTACAGCGTTTCTAAAACTTTGATACAAATTACTAATATAACAAACATGCTCAAATGTTATTGTTAATAACTCAATTTATGCACCCGTATGAACAACACTGGTCATGTTGTTGATTTGTCACAATAATTGTCGGCAATGATTCCCCAATGTAGGAAACAGCGAAATACAGTATGTCACACTTCATTTCTATAAATCTCTGCAAGTGTTTTACATTTTCAAATGATCACTTTTACAATCGTCCTAATATCCCATCTCGGGTAAGCTATTTTTGGGACAGGCCCGAGTTAGTCGTATGGTCCTTGATGGCTACCTGATGTCTACTGATATTAGTCACCCCCTGCTCTGATTTGTCCACAAGTGTAAAGTGGCTGACAACCGTTCCAGGATGTACGCCGTATCTCGCCCAAAGTCAGTTGGAGGACAATAGTAGGATGAACGGGCTGGGGAATCTTGGGGTGCTCTGATCAAAAACTAATTGTTATGCCAAAGTTGACATCTCTGAGGATGTGGCTCAACTTCAGTTGGTGATGAAAAATTGCTCATCTTTATATGACAAACTGGTTGGGACTGAACCATCAACACTTGCGTACCTTCATTTGACACAATGACAGAATTCTCCTTCGATCAATGACCGAATATTGCTTTGTAGGTCTTTCCCTGGTACTAACAAAAAAAAAAAAAAGATGATATATTTAACAACTGAGTTGTCCTCACGTCACATTGGCGGATGGCATCCATGGCCAGCAGATTGTTGCCATGTCTGAGCTGGAAGTGAACGACCTCCAAGGCAGCTTTGAGTTCAGCCAGCTCTCTGACTTGTCCGGGCGCACATTCCCTCATCATGTCTTGCAGCAGCAGGCTGTACTTACTGATCCGCTGCACTGGTTTCAGTAAGTAAGACCACAGGTCCATTTTGTCCCTGAGATTCAGCTGCTTTTGCTGGTGGGGGAGGGACACAGGAGAGAGCTGTCAAAGAAGAGGTTGCTGACAATGTACAGAGGCAACACATTTATCTCTTGCTGCAGTAAAACATGAAGTGGATTTGTTCAAATTTAGATTGACACTGTCTGAAACTCAAGGTTATCATTCTGGCTGCTACAACATTGTGCAAATATCTTTCTTTGTGAGTGTCTCATACTATTATGGAGACACTTTCAATGCCGCAAGTCATACTATTAGAGAATGAGTTTTTGCCTTGAAAATTAAGACAATGCCATTTAATTTATTGTCCAAGTCGAGCCAAAGTTGATTTTTTTCCAATTGGTTGTTTATGTACTTTAAATGTTTCTATTTTGAACTTCTGTTTATTTAGCATGAATGGTTGTTGGTCTATGTATGCGATGCGATTATCTGGCAACCGGTTCAGGGTGTGCCTCTCCTACTGCCCGAAGACAGCCGGGATAGGCTCAGGCACACCCGTGACTCTTGTAAGGATAAGTGGATCAGAAAATGGATGAATGGATGGTTTTGGAATGCACACCTGCCTCACCTCCCCGCTGCCCTGCATTTGGATCTGTAACAATGCCAAACTTTAACAGCACCAAATGAAAAATACCTTAGATAATAAACTTCGGGGAAGAGTTTTTTTGGGGGCTGACTAACAATAATAACATTTGAAGAATTGCTGACCATCAATCCTGCTTGAATGATGTTGTGCTTGCATGCTAACCAGGAGCCCATAAGCTGAAACAGGTGCATCATGACCCCTTTAAATAACAGTCTTAAAGTAAAACATTTATATCTCACTCCCCTTAAAGAAAGATTGAATTCAGAGAAAAAATACTATTCACCTTGAAGAAAGCCTTTCCGTGATTGATGAGTAGACTATCAGACTGCGGTTTGTTTTTGCTGTAAAGGGCATACAAAGCAAAGTTTTCTCTCTAAAAGGAGGTGAGAGAAAGAAATGCCATTAGATAAACGCATTATCACGCGTCCACTGTGTGTCACGTTGACAAGTTACGTAATGTACTTTAGGACTGTGGTCCTCATCGTCATTTGGTGCCAGGTCACACAGAAAGACGAAATAACTTACATTCCTTCCGTTTTATTCATTTCGGAATCTGAAATATGTTTTATTTTGAAAATTTACCGGATTCTCTGTTGTATCCGTTTACAGTTTTGACGCAGGTGAATGAGGCGCTTCTCGGTCACGTGATAGTTTACCGCTAAAAAATGAAACCCAAGAGCTTGCAAAATTAATAAAAAAAAACAAACGTCTTCGGAAAGTTCCTGTGGGAAGGGGAAAAGGCTCAGCCAGGCGACAGAAGAGGAGCCTATGACTTCCAAGACAAAGAAGGCTACATTTAACAAGACAGTATCAGGAGTCCGACTAAAGATACGGATTTATCTCAACAGGAGATTCCCAAGCACGAAGCCCACTCTGCATAATATGTGGCGATGGTGAGTCGTATTTTTTGCGGGGTATCTTATTTTGAAGGCATGTTTAAACGTTACCATAGCGACCAGAGAGCGTTTCGGCCAGACCGGACGTTCCTCGTGTCATGATTCGGGTTTGTTATTATGTTACGAGAATACCACAGTTGTCATGCAGGCCATATCATATTATTTTGTTGTATTTATCCGGCCTTAAATGGCGGTCCCTGAAAATATTGCCCGTGGGGCAAAAAAAAAAAAAAAAAAAAAAGGTTGGGCACCACTGTTTTAGGACATTTCACAATTTTATAAAAGCAACATATTAGCTGCGAGTTTGTTGTTGTTTTTAGCTAAAAATTATCATTTTTTTGGGGTAATATGTAAAGCTGAACAATTGCTGTTCCAAATAGCAAATCATTGCAATGGCGTGAATGGAAATGAATTATTCTGTCACCTACATGTCGTAGAAAGCAGCGTCCCACCCGAAAGGGTTCGTTCAGGCAGTTCTCCAGCTCACTCAAGAAATGATGGCGGTGGAAGTCATGCAGTTTTTCCAGGTTACCAAAGACGCTCCCCTTCTGACCCCGGAGGTCCTGCGGGACGTCGCTCCTCTCCAACTCGGGGAAGTAGTGCTCCCGAACATAACCCAGAGCCTTTACGTATTCCCTCTCCGTGGACAGAAGCTCTTCCATGATCTTTCGCAGTTTCCTGAAACAAAGCATGACTGAAGTTTCCTGGACAGGACCTTGCGATGCTTTCAATTGAGGGAGGGAGCCTAACTTACAAAACATTGTTTCCATTGTTTTCCGTCGGCGTGAAAAATGACTCATTTGTCTCATCTGAGCTTTGGATTGAAGCTGGATCTTCTTTGGTGGGACATTCCTCATTACCATCTTTTGATTTGACACTCAGATTCTCAAATTGGGAGGAAGGCAGGTTTTGGAGCGGCTCTGACTTTTGTGTCAGTGGTACCTTATTCATCTGATAGACCGGTTCTTTTACATTAAAAAGTGAAACATCAATTGCAAACGGTGTATAAGTGGTTATAGGTGATCCCTCACTCAGGGACCGACCCAAGATTCGGTGCCATGAAATGTCTGCGTCCTCTTGAACCGAGGCTGTTTTCCTCAGGTCAGCCTCACTGTGGTGCCCCCTTGGTTTCCATTTTGTGTCGAGATGAGAGTGAAAATTTTGTGGTCCAGTTGGAGTTTCTCTATTATTTTGTGGTCGAAGCTCCAGAGCTGGAGGTTCTCTTTTTTCATTCCCTTTCAAGAATGCAGCTGTGGTGTGTTCACTTTCAGGGATGTAAGCTACATCCTTTTGAGAGGTTGGTTGTTGGGTCAGGGACCATTCAGCCTCCCTCATTTCAGTCCTCTTCTCCATTCCTCCATCTTCCCCATGAGTGCTTACGGCTGTGGTCTGTTGGTTTCGCTTCTTATCTTTGCATGCCTTCTTCTTCTGCATCTTCTCAAGACGCTGCCTGACTTCTTGGCAGCGCACCCACGCCGCATTCCACACGCTCATCGCCCCGCAGGAACCTGATCTTAAAGAACAGGCCTTAGATTTCAAGGCCTGGAAATGCCGGGTGGAGAATTCATCACCTAATCTCTCTTCATACATCTGCAGTGTGCTGAGAGTGGCCTGAGCCAAGTAACACCCATGCTCTACCTGCTCCAAAAAATGGCTGCATTCCTTGGCCAAAGCTGATGCCTACAGAGAGAGAGAGAGAAAAAAAAAAACAATGCAGCCTTTAGGTTCGCTCGTGTCAGTCAAACTGGGAGCATAGCGCGGTTAAAAACCCACAACCAAGCTAGCAAATCGAACCTGATCACAGAAGCGGTGCACTGTGACAAGTGTGTTTCGGTCTTTGTGCATCTGCTCCGCACGTGACATGAAGTCATCTACGTTGCACTTGAAGGTGCTGAGTAGAGTCTGAAAAACATCTGCCGCTGGACTGGACACACTTGAACCCACATTTTTTTCTGCCTCAGTCACGAGAGTCAAGGCATACTGTTGTTTTTCCTGGAAAAAAAAATTTACCTTTTTTTTTGACATTTCAACAACTAAACAGAAACAGGATGCCCTAGCTCAGTGTTTTTCAAACTTTTTTGAGCCAAGGCACACTTCGTTCATTGAAAAAAATCTCACGGCACACCACTAGCTGAAAATGTGAAGAAAAAAAACGCTTATTTGAACAATTAACGTGTTACGTTGTTACTAGAACCGTTTTTAACATTTAAGAATGACGTTATAACAGCTTGAATTGGAATCAAATGAACACAAAGAAAAAAGTATTTTATAATCTTTCATATTGTTTCACCGTCATCCTGCATTCATGCGTCACAAATTCGCTGGTCTGTCGGCTAAACACAAGGCAATTGGCTAGCTGTTGCTGCTCCCTAGCGGTATGAGAGGGTACTACACGAGTACTTTCTGTGCAATAGACGGCAAAGGCATAGAAATTGGATATTTTCCCAGTGTGCCGCGGCACAGGGTTTGAAAAACACTGCCCTAGCTGAGTCCATTTGAGCGTGCTTGTAAAGGACATCTGTACCTTTGCTTGCAGGAGGAACGTGTCAAACTGCTGCATGATGTCTTCAGTGTACAAATGATCTTTTTGGTCAAAGTCCTTCAGTCTGCGTTCACCTTCTTGACTGAACCACACAGCCGACTGCAGGGCGCGGCACAAAAATCATCGGACCAGCAATATCGCTGACGTTTCACCGCACGATGCGAACAGAACTCGCCGTACCTCTTTGATTTTTGCATCCATGTCCCTGAGCGTGAAAAGGAGCTCCAGTTGCTGAAGGGACTCGTTTGATCTCATCACCAGCACGTGGAGCTTCTCCTCCACCTGGTTGTACAGATGTGTCACTGACTCCAGAGCATCTCTGCAACCACAGACATTCATTGTTTGGGTCGACACCAAGAGGGAGAGACATCACGATACAGGGAAAAGGTAGTTGAATGTAGTTGAAAGAAAACGAGAGTGATGATAGGAGCAGATGATTAGAACCATTTCAGTCTTGTGAAATAACCGGAGAGCAACAATCCAACCCGAACCAAAAACATATGTGATACCTGTAGTCTTCAGACTGTGGAAAGCGGAACTCTTCCCTCCTCATCCTGGCCAGCACCGCCCCACCTTCTCGCTGCAGCGTCACCAATCGGGTGTCCTCCAGCACCTCCTTCATCAAATCCCTCTGTTCCTGAATGCATCCACGTACTTCCTGCAACAGTAAAAAAAACGCTTGTTGTGGACACAATTGAAAAAGAAACTGCACACATTCAGTTTAACAATGCTTTGTTTTGATTTTTTTTTAACCTGGGCTGTGTCCATGACGTTGCCTTCATTGACTTGAGTGATAGCCCTCTGTAACAAACTGTCAGCCTCTTGCAGGTCCGTGATGAAAGAAACCAGTCTCTGAAATGGAATGCAATGAAGCTTTAGGGGAACAGACTGTCACACAGCAACTGTCTGAAGCAAACACAGTCAGTAAAATCCCAAATGCTGATTTCCACGTCCTTCCGTAATTCCCTTCGAGGAGGAGTTTTCAACCTTTGGTCAATAAAATGGGGGGAAAACCCCCCCACCCGGCCTTCTTTTGTTGCATAACTAATACACATTGTCAAGACGCGCATGTACACTCTCCCCTTGTGAAGTCCAAGTCCTGGTCATCTTTCGAACATCTCACTCTGATAAGATGGTGCAATTTTGGGTGTTACCTGATGGAACTGCAGCCAATCCGTATGACTGTAGGTGAAGGTTCCTCCCAGTTCTGAGGTTAGCTGGGAAACGTCCACTGTTTTGTTGAGGGCCTTCATAGACGTCACCAAGTCCATCTAGCAGACAGCAACAACATTGTGCAAAAAAATGAGCACAGGAATCTGTACTCTGAGACTGACTTGAACGTTTCTTACCTGCAGGCCAGGCTGCTTTTCAGGGCGTGGGCATGTGTCTTTATCCACCAGCATTACGATACTGTGGACGGCGTGAAGTGCTTGCTCCTGTTGTAAACAGAAACGGCTTGTGACTCTGGCGTGCAACTTTTTATCCACGCAACAGTTTTCAAACGTGCCACAATCTCTCTCTAAAAAGGGGATGTCTCCCCCTAGCGTATTCTTGGCAAAACATCCATCCATCCATTTTCTTGAGCCGTGATTCCTGAACACGGCGTCACTAGAAACGATCCAGTTTCACTTGATTAGTGTGGTAATTTCCTACAAATATTGTGTCGTCGTTTATCTATCCATGACGGAAACCTCGAGTGACATCAACTACAATAATTAAACGCAAGTCCACAACATGACAGAAGATACAATGAACCTGAGTATCCACTAGTTATCACTCATACAACATAATAATGTCTTTGTGTTTAACTAAACGGATTCCACACAGAGTATGTAAATTTGTAAGTAAATTGAGATGAGATCATGTGGGTACTGTATTTTTTTTTTTTTCATTTTAAGCGACATTTTGATCCACCACTTTTCGGTCTTTTGTGTCTTATCTCTCCTATTGTTGTTATTTGAACCTGTGCCATGAGCAGAGCTTTGTAGAGGTGAGGCGGTGGAGCCTTCTTCCTGGCATCGACGACCAAAGTCATTCCCAGTTCTTGAACATCTTTCCTAAGAAAACAATGACTCACTTTAGGGCACATCCAAACACGTCGTCTTCATCACAGGGGTCTTTGTGAGAGAGCGGCTTCTCACCAAATCGGTAATTATCTTTTATCACTTCATCTCTCTCTGTGTCAGACATCCTCACATATTCATGCTTTCACACGCCCTTCATAATGGCCTGGACGGTCTTGAGGGACTTGAGCCTATGTCAGGCCTGTGTGCTAATTCTAGCAGGGTGTGCATACCAGACATTTGGCCGCCAGCCTGGCTACAGTACATACTTTTGAGCTGTGGCTCCACAGAAGAGAAGGATGCTATCACATTAGTTCAATTGGTTCTTGAACTACAAAGACTATGTGAGTGTCACCGTAAACATAAAACATTGTTGAAGTGTTGAAGTTGAGAGTAAGTGGTAGACAGAGGTCAACAAAGACCACTGTCGCTACCAGTTGGCCCTAATGGTTCATTTGATATAATGCATAGTATGTAGAGTTTTAAGTGAGTGTACTGTGAACAGATAGTTGGGATGCACTGACTGTACTGTACAGGTATATGAAATAGTTGGATTCCTACTGCCCTCTTGTGGCCTTAACAATTATTACGCAACCACCACATTGGTGTTTCCCAATCCTGTACACTTGACTACAATCCTTTACTATTGAATTTACGTGTCACTCTGAATATTAAGCAAACAGCAACTGCGTAGATTCACAGAAAGTGATAGTTTATAGGCTGCAATACATTTAAAGTTCTCACTTTTGCGTGCTTACATTTTTGGACGGCTAAAGGTCACTGCACTCCCAACAGGACTGACAAAATCAAGCTAACAACGTCCGACCTCTTAGCATGTAGTTTCTGTTCTACTTTGCCAAGAGAGGAGTAGGAGGCAGCGACTATGCAAATGCCTTTGCTATGCATTCTCAGATTTGGCACTCTTAATGATAGGAATAGTACTCTGATTTCATTTTGTTCAAACTTTGATTCTGCATGGGGCACCTGGGAATGGAGTGAAGGTAGAGCAGTAACTCGCAGAGATTCTGTGCTGATAATGGAGGTGAGGTCCACTCCTTGTCACAGTAAACCTCCACCACTGCCCGGCCAGTCTTGTCCCGGCTGCCTGCAGGTGAGCAAATAAAAAATGTAATGAATGAATAGGAAGGTACCAACATAAACTCTCCATAAGGTTAATTGACGAGTTTAATGTTGGCCTTCATAAAATAGCGTCTGCCTTTTATGAGAACCTATTCACTTCTCAGGAAGTAAAAGTACCTGGTAAACAAATGATAGACAGTTCAAGCAAACCGCGGATGCTTTGAAGAGTGGACTTCAGACTTGGAGGAGACGGAGGGGGCAAAGAGCTGCCAGATGGAACCTGAGAGGAGTATTTGTCTTCTGTCTTTGAGTTCTGGAGTCTCGGGTGCGGTTCATTTGTAGTGGAGGGAGTTTCACTTCCGCCAGGCTGGGAATCTGTTAGTAAACATAAACGTGTCCATACATTTTTTTTTGTTCAGGGTCACGGCAGGGTCAGGGGTCAAAACCGGCTAACGGCTCAGCCCTGCAAGGGTTGACAGGACAATTGTGAACGGGTCATATAGTACTACTACTACAACTACTGTTACTCTTACTATTATGACTACTGTACTACTATTACCACTATCCATCCGTCCTTCTGTCCTTGTTCTATAGCCCTTGTCCTCATTCGGGTTGTGGGCATGCTGTAATCTATTGCAGCTGACTCGGAAATTATAGGGCACATACAGACAAACATTCACATGCAGACCTATGGACAGTGTAGAGTCTTTTATTAGCCTAACCTGCATGTTTTTGGAATGTGGGAGGAAATCTGGTGTATCCGGAACAAATCCACAAAAGCCCGAGGGAGAACATGTCAACTCCACACTGGAAGGCCACTACCACCACTCGTAATGACAAGACTTTTGACAAGGATAAGGACTTGATTCCACGTGAACCACTATACGATCAACTTGTGCACGTTTATAGTCACATCACAAGTGATGACCCCCCCCCTATGAACGAGTACAGCCACCTGCACAGCTGTGTGTAAAGCTTTACAAATGTGCCTTGCTGTAACAAATGCAATGGCCCAGTTACTAAACCAGCCTTTGATTTCAAAAATCTTAATTGGTCTCTCCTCTGAGCCAACAAAGGCTTTTCAGTGCTTTCTGGCTTTTCTGCTTTAATAGCCCGTGACATGCATATCTCCGGTCAAGATCTGGGCATGCATCCTCTCAAGGTGCAAAGGATCATATGCCAGTGAGCGCACAGGACCCAGAATGGCTGTTCTGGCCTGCTTTGATGTCCACCTGCACAACAAATTGCAACGTATCAATTCATCACAACCTCCTCATTTAAATGGGAAGCTATTTCCCGTCATCAATTATAGTGATGTAAATGCAAGCAAAATTACAACAGAAAATGAGAGTGGCTCTACTGAGGATCATATTTGAAAATTAAACTCTCCATCCGTGACCTACAATACAATGATTCCTTTTGCAAATGTTCTAGGGCCTTTCTAGTGTTCACAAATTCATCCTGTGAGAAAGTTTATGGAAAAAATATGGAATGTTCATTCTGACTTCTTACCTTTCCTGTAGAATTTCAGTTTTTCCAGCTTTGGGATTGCCTCATCTGGCAGGTCAGCTTTCGTGCTCTGCATCATGCTGCTAACTGTCTCGGGGCAAATATCGCTGTGGCTCCTGTTATTGTGTTTGTAGAAAAGTGGACTCCCTTTAGGAGTGTCAGATACAGTTGACAGAGACCTAACCTTAGATTTGTGTTTGCCTGATGATTTCACAACATCCACTTTTTGGTGTGGCTTCTTGTCCGGATCATCACATGATTCTAAAAGTAACCCGGGTCGCTCCACGTGCTCAGACCGAGAAAGAAGTTTGGTTTGAATTTTATGACTGTAACTTAAGCCGGGAGTTGATGTCAAAATAACGGGGGATTCCTTTAGAATGTCCTCTGATTCAGAGCTTGTGGGGAAAATGTGTGTTGTTGTCTCACAGCAGCGTCTGTATTGGCACAAGTCATGGCCTGACATGGGCGTAGTACAGTGGTTACAAAACTGTCCACGTTCAATGTTTTCTTCCAGATCTTCACAAAGGCCGACCTCCTCCAGTGCCGAAAGGTAGTCAACGCTCCCTTTTTCGAAAGGGACGGGGTTTCTCAGCGCCGCTAGGTATGAATCCCGGTACCGGCATTTGATGTCGTGCTCCGAGGGGTCCTCCACCAGCTTCTCCTGGCTGCATGGCATACAAGGCTCCTCTGCGTACTGAAGGGTGCGGCCGCAGAAAACGCTGCTCGGCAGTTGCGCAGATGGCGGCGGCGGTCTGACAGGTTTGATCAAGACTGAATTTGGTGGATTCGAATGGCTGCCATGTTTCGTTCCAAACTCCTTCCCTTTTGCGACCTCCACTAAGTCCACATAATCACCTTCGATTTCGAGATAGTTGCGGCTGTCCCAGGTGTTCGGGGACACCCACCCCACAGGTTTGTTTTGAGGTTTAGAATAGGATCTGGGGATTCTTTGATAATGGTCCAATCTGACAAGTCTGGTAGAACTATCCACAGGTCTTAGGGATGCTGACATCCGATCTTTTAACGGAACAACCCGAGCCTCCAGCGGCAGAGTGGATGCGCCGTAAGTGCACGGAACTGACATAAGCTTTGGCTCTGGAGGAACTTCCTGGTAAGTGGTCATAACCTTTGGCTTGTCCAAAAACTCAGGGACGGCCACTTCCGCCCACGGCAACTTGATTACTCCTTGTTCAGTGCAAAGTAAGCAGCGAGAGAGAGGAGTCCCGTGGCGTCCATCGTTGATGTCCTGCAGCCAGTTTTCAGTGAAGATGCACGGGTAGGAAGTCTCGGGGATTGGGGTCTCCTCCACTTCCCGACATCCGGCTTCCAGAAGAGTTTTGAGGACGATACGAGCTGCCTGATCAGCAAAAGGTTCCACCTGCAGATAAAAGTCTCCAGGACGCAGCAGCAAGGGGTTCACGGGTGCTAGCTGGACCACTGTTTTGTCATGGAGGCAGAGAGGCCAGCCTTCACAGCGGAAAACCACATCCGAATATTCAGCCTGAAAATATATAAGCAGACTTTCATGTATTCCTTTGCAACCGTGATATTCCCGAAGAGCATCTCCATCTCGTGCTTCATGAACATAGAAACTTGGAATCGTGTTTTTAATTTGCTGAGCTTTTAAGTTGTTGTGGTGGAAACACCCGATATCGGTATATGCGTTACTTACACATGCAGCCTGCTGTACACTTTCCAGCAAGTGTTTGGAAGGGATAAGGAAATCCAGTAGGCACTGCAAGGCATCGCCGTGGTAACGTTCCTCGATGGTACGGAAGAGCTGGCTGAGGACGATGGACGCCGTGGCCTCAAAAGGTGGGAAGAGGGCCGAGAGGGCACTCTGGATGGACGAGTCCAGAGATTCTGGGTTCTGCACAACCACAACAAGAAATGATTGAGCTCGATTACGGTCTCCATTTTACGAAGAGGTCACAAATGGAGCTTTGTCCATTTTGCTTGAGTTCCACTGGAGGCGTTGTGGGGTCAGCTCTCGCTCGGTTACGGTGTTCATGTGAGCTTGCAAGGCTTTCTTTCTCTAAATTGGCCCCGTGATTGACTTGCAACCAGTTCAGGGTGTAGCCTAACTGGAATCAGTTCCAGTTCGCTGTTACCCCGAAGAGGATATGCTGTGTAGAGAATGTCTGTATAAATACCAAAAAAGGACCCAGAAATGAATATTCTGTGTACCGCCACATGAGAAACTGGAGCAATCACATCAAAATGACCTTGTTCTCGTTAAATGCATGTAAGAGCAAAATGAGACTAATCAATAACATTTTTACTGTATCTGGAGAAGATTAACTCTGCGCATGTTTGCAGCTTGTTTCTGGTCTTATTTCATGGTCTTTCAAAAAAAATATCAGAACCAGCTGGACATCTGTGCAAGTACTGCAAAACACACAGCGGTCCCTAAAAAATGCCTACAATGGTCTTGATGTGGTGAAGATAATCAATTTCATGTGCTCGAAATGAATGAGCAAAAATTTTTTAAATGAAAACATTTTGTACGGGTAGAATCTAAAGCCATGTACATCCACCACCTCCATCGCATCTGACTTTGAAGTGAGACACAAACTCAAAGCTCCCGGTAATTTGCAGTCATCAGTCAACCTAACAAGTTTCTGGAGCGGAAGTTGGAGAACATGGAGAAAACCCAACGCAAGCACGGGGAGAACGAGCAAATTCCACACAGGAAGGCTGGAATCAATATATGAACCCAGAACCTGTTGCCGGGCACGCCGTAGCTGGCGCCAGTATTGGTTTCCATTTGTTTCCATGACAACTGGGATCCAATTTATTTGAGGTTGTTGTTTTTTTTTAAAAAGTGTTTTATGTTTCCATATGAACCTTGATATTTATGCTTTTTCTTCAAATCTTTTCAATAAGTATTCAGAATATTTTCTCAAAGATCGCTTCCGGTTTAGGGTCACGTGTGGCGGAAGGCGAGAGGATGAAAGAGAGAGAGAGAGAGAGAGAGAGAGAGAGAGAGAGAGAGAGAGAGAGAGAGACGAATCGACACCATCTGTTCGACTTTATTTTAGATGATCTACTTTCAGTTTAACAAGGCGCACACGGTAGATTATTTTCTGTTTATTTGTTTAATGTCTTGTCAAACAGATTATTGATTGTTGATGTTTAAATGTCTTTTGGTTTTCACAATGTTCCATGAATAAAACGATTGTGGACATCAGTTCGAGGGTCGTCCTTGACCGGAGTAGATCCAGACGCCGGCTAATCAAGTGCTGCGCCATGTTGCCAGTCAGGGCTCATTCTTTTTTTTCAAACATTTTGTGTACAGGATCTCGTTTCCCCCCTTTTCCGTTTGAATTCCAACATGTTTAGAACACCTTGCAATGCCACCAAAGTAAAAGTCGAGTCTCAAAATCAGAGCTCATCCTCTCGGCACCACGATTGCCTTTTAAAAATGCCCCCCCCCCCCAGAATTGATGACAAGGTTAAAATTAAACATCTTTCAAGATCTGGAGAGGTCTTAACTGCCTGCATGTCTGCTATTCATACGATCGGACCACAGTGTCTTGCAGGGGTGGAAAGGAGCCTGTTTACGGCCCTTCCTCATTTAGCCTGACAGCCACACCAGGACCAGGGCCTGACCCAGTGTAAACACAGTGCAGCAGCTTCAAAGACCTCACACTGGTTGTGCTGGGACCGATGCTGGTGCGACTATGTCGCACATTCGTGACACGCCGGCGAACTGAGGTCATTGCTGTTTTTCGTTGAGTGGTTCGGGAAAGCATTCGGTTTTGCCTCACTGTGCTCGGTATTTGTCAAATTAACAACATTTGATCTGTCAGGATTTAGTAACTCTTGTAGACGGCGTGCGCTAAGTCGAAAAGAATGTTTCCTTTTTTTGTGTGCACATCTGTAACAATAGATTATCTACAGGAGAACAAAATACCTCCGAGTCTGGTTCTTGAACCCTAATGGATCACAGCTGTTTGAGACTCGACTGTGCGCTTTTGAGCCTGATGTCGCAGCTATTAAAACATAGAGCTGGGAAAGTGGCTTAAGATATTTCATTTCCCATTGTGGAGATTTCAATTCCTTCAAAGTTTGGTTCGGTGCATCCAGTCATCTCAGAGTAAATTAATGTAGCATGTCAATAATGATTCACACATAAATCCAACTGCAAATATCATTTCTAGAATACATTTTTTGAAGTTTAGTTGAGCCCAAATATGTTCAATCTGGAAATGTCAAAACATGTTGGAAAAAGTTTCAATGTGGGTCGGGATCGTGTTCAAACAAAGGTGTTTAAAACCTGATATGTTGCAGCCTGGGTGGACCTCTGTGGGTGGTTCGACGGATGATATTCACATGATTAAGAGAGCATCGCTGGAGAGATTTACGGAGCGTTAGCTTTTTTGGAACCAGGTCACACGGTCCAGGCAGCCCAGGGAGTTGCCATGTTTTGTTTGAAATTCACAATAAAGAAAAAGACGAGAACTTACCGTTTCCCTACTGAGAGGCAATGTGTGCGGCAAAGTAATGACAACGTGTTCGAATCGAATCATTGCAACGATAAAATCGGTTGCGCGCAGCATGATACTACCTGCCAACTCAGTCAAACGCACACTTTATTTTGTCAATTATTTAAGCAAATTTATGGTGTTCCGTTGGTCAGGCTTCCTAGTTTTTTTTTTCCACTTAAACCGACATTCTCAGTACTATATACTCAACTTGTCTTAAGTTTATTTATAGTAGACTTTACACTGATTTGATCAGCTATATCGGATGGTACGATATTTTGCATTTTCCATCACATTTTACATCAGTGAAATCCACCGATATTTATGCGTGGGGGGCCGCCACAAATGAATTTTGGTCACCACGAAAAGATTTTTGGCGCTACCTGCTAGTATGTTACACTGCTCCTTGCGTGCGTCTCTTCATGGAGCCCCGTTCCATGCATGCAACGTCAAATGACTGAAGTACCAAAAGTATCATTGTGAACTTTGAAAATCAATCTTGGTGGTATCAGAGGCATCACAGATTTAATCGGTATCAAGCCTCCATGGCCCTCCAGCAGGCAAAATGGCCGCCTCTCTAATGGCCTCACTGCCTGTAGATAAAATTAGCATTTGCTTCTTTGCGGTTAAATGAATTTGATTTATTTATCAGCCTGACTCCTATCCGCCTTCTTATCGACCTGCAGTAACTTACTACTGGAATGTACACCATTGCTAATCGCTCTTCCACACGATCACATTAACATTGTGTTTGACATATCAAGTTATCCCAGCATTCGAAACAATACACACTGTTGTCGAAAGACACTGAGAAAAACTCAGAACATCGCTCTGAGGCCTTTCCCTTCTTTTGGTTACGAGACAAAATGCAGCGGCCGCTTCTCACAGTTTCACTCCCACAAACAGCCCCGTGCGCAGCGTTCCACTGGACTTCTATCCCAGCCTTTATCTTGTTTGCCTGGAGTGCAAAGGATTGGCGAGTCGATGACCACATTCCACAGCCGCCTCCTTTCTGCCCACTAATGCTGATGTTGCATGTGATGTAGTTCGGAAAAGGGATTGGGTCTCCAGCAAAGATCATTGTGGATCCTGATTTACCATGCTGGTGTGGACAATTATTTGCAATGAAGGGTCCGGCCGGCTCTCTTTGTCTTGTTTGCCATTTAAGAAAACCCCCTCCACCCGTCCACCCCCCACCCCTGGGGCTATTGCAGTCTTTGTTTCTCCATATTGCCTCTGGCTTTGGGTCAAACAAGCAGATTTGAGCCCTACTATAAACATGTAGTCAAGCGCTATATTGCGGTCCCTTTCTGCCATTAGCCACGAAGGAGGAGGCAAAAGGTTAAAGAAGGCAAACTGGCCGTGCTTTGATTGTCGAGATTAACTCAAATGGACTCTTGTGACTCATAATGCATTTGCCGATGTCATCACCACCCCCCCCCCGCCCCAGAAAAAAGAATTCTGTCAAGAAAGTGACCTCCAAGCTAACGTTAGCTAACAACACAAACGCTGACTGACTGTGTTGCATTCTGCATGCATGGGCAAGCTCATACTTCCAAAGGTCATATATGAAAACACAAGCAACTCAGCCATGACGACAGACATCGAGTGTGGCAACAAAGTGCTGATGGGATGTGACGCCTGGGCGTGTTTTCTAAACAGAAAGGCACTTGGTGATGTCCAAAAGGGAGAAGGAAATGTTCTGTCAAGAAAATAGTGAATCGGGGGCAGAGGGCCTCCAGGGCTTCTTTTTTTTTTTGCGTCCTACCACTTCAAGTAAATTGAAAAGACTATTTTCCAGGGCCCCTGTCAACTCTTTTTAACAGCTCTTTGAATCATTATGATTCAGGCGCAGTAGTTAGACGACAACAACCCCAGTTGGAAAGTTAATTTTTTTAATATGACTTTATCTATAATTGTTTTTGTTCACACGGGCCTGCGACATACTTGAATATGCATGCCGGCCAGTGTTGGCTCATTTTTGCAGAAGATTTACACAACATGATCCAGTGTTTTGTTTTTGTTTTCAAGTGTGGTCTGATACCGACCCTGGCAGGGTTATGAAAAAACTACCTGTATGGAATCAGATATTCACAGATCAGAATCAGGCCTCTTCCAATTGTGGGTACACATCAAATATGCATTGGATATGACTGCACCGTAAAGACAGATGGTGACTGTCCATATGCGAGGATTGGGAAGTAAATGCATCCACCTAAAGAAGTGATTTGGGTGCCTATGACAGATGTGTTGCGGTGTTGAGGTATTAAAAAAATTACGACAAAAGTATAGCTGGACTAACTATGGTATTTTAGATGATGATTTTATTCTAATTAATAAGCATTTTTGGTAGTATGGCTTCAAAATGGACTCTCAAATGCCATTTTGGCAACATAGCAATGTCGTTCATTTCCCACGCCATTCACTTGGAGAGATGTTTTTGAAATGTCAGCAATGTTAGACTGCAGATTGCCGTGTTGCTGTGAAAATAAGCAATGCCCAGTGTTTACACTGTCATGAAAAAAAAAAAACCCTGGAAAAAAATACGGAAATTAAAAATGTATTTTCCAGGTCCTTGAAAATTGACCCAAAAAGTCCGGCCTATATCATCCAAAAATAACTAGTTAGTGCCTTCATTTAAGCTGGGGTATTCCAAAGTTTTCTTCAAAGAGCCACAAAAAAATATATCTTACATATTGAATGTAGTGAGAAAAAAAATTAATATATATTGGTTTTTTTTTTTTTCAATTATGGTGATAAAGCAAAAATACTATGATTCGGGAAATTAGGAGTTTGTGTTCCCAGCACTAAAGCATCCATTTCTCTTACTCTCTGTGATGGAGAGCGGTCGGTCTCATGAGTCATCTGTTCATGATGTTGATAACCGTGTTAGCGTTGACGCCGTTGCAATTATTACGTGACAAAGTGTATCAAAATGTTTCTGCGGGGATTTGGTTTGATTTCGAGGCACTAACTGCAATGTTTCAAGTGATGACTTCGTTTGGTTGGTTGGTTTTCCTTTGTGCACATTAATAATTTTCGGTGGTGTAACTGAAATGTTTTAATTTTTTTTTTCTGTATTGCAAATGAAGTGAAAGGTTTTGGAACAGTCATGGGAAAGTATTGATTAAAAAAAAACATGTACGAACCCTGAATTGCGTTTTGATGTATTGCAGTCCAAATAGAGCACGAATAATCCTGTGCAATAAATCATGTCACCCGAGCCCGCCTTCATATGTTCATATAAACATGGAACAGGGACCTCCATGCCATTCGGCCTCCTCCACTCGTTCCTCCTCCGAGTGGAAGGGAGTCACAGTTGTCTTTATGTGCGATCCATTCTTATTAGCAGCAGCAGACAGACACTCCATTCAGAGATGACATCTTAAGTCCTTTTGACTGATAAAAAGCCCATCCAAGACTAAGTGCCTGCATTGCTTCGGTCCCCCGGCTGACAAAAAGGAAGCAAATTCCTTTCTTCGTTTCAGGGATGGTTCTGATTATCATTTGTTTATTTTCTACTCGCGGGGTTGCAGTGTGTAACACGAAAAGGCTGCCGAGATGCAAACGCATGCGCCCACGTGGATGAGCTTACGTTTGAATTCGCAAATGCAGACCGACTCACATTGAAGATTGACAACAGCCGTGCTCTGCACTCTTTTACTGTATTAAAATGTTCATTTTACCATGCCGTGGGACACTGGTGTCAAACTCAAGGCCCGGGGGCCAGTTCCGGCCCGCCACATCATTTTAGGTGGCCCGCGAAAGCAAATCATGTGTGTCAATTTCCATGATCCTTGCTCAAATCTGGACCGAAATGTGAAATTGTCATGCATAATCAATAACGTTGAGATTTTGCAAAGTGTTGGGGGGGACAATAATTGAGCAAACAGCAAACAAACAGTTGACAAATTTCAAAACTAGAAATGCATTAATTTGATTTGTTGTGTGCAAGTAATAATACGATGTAATGATTGGCCCTCCGAGGGATGACGTAACTCCAAAAACTGAATTTGACAAAAACTGAGTTTGACACCCCTGCCCGTAGGACAATCCAACATGTTTATTCTACAAACATGGAAAATAACACTCACGCTGGGGAAAATGATGAACGAAAAACAGAGCTGGCAAACTGAGACAAACATTGAAGCTCAATTGGTCCAGTCTGTTTAATCCAGCAGTATTAAACATGTTTGTTTTCAACCAGCAACAAAAGGATTACAAAATTCTTTAGCTGGGCCGGTGTACTGTAATCCTATTTGTTTTAAAACAAACTTTAAACATTGAGGGAAGGTGGCCGCTCTGAGAACTCCAGTCGCAACATATACGGCACTCGTATCGGCTATTCACTCAGCAATGGGTGTGTTTTGAAAACACTGCAAGGCACTTGACCCACTTTTTGTGAAACCGAGACAATAAACACAGTCAAACGATTGCCCACAGCTCCAAAATGTGTTTGTTTTTCTGACTGAACAAATTAAAAAAAAAAAAAAAAAAGTCGTCTCCATTCAGTTGTATCAAGTACATTTGCCGGTAATTCCAAGCAGATGGTTTTCATGGATTGGCAGCCGGAATTTGGCAATAATCAAAATGGCCAGGAAGTATGATTTTGCTTCCAGAGGGAGCTGAAATAATTGAAAGTGAAGAAGTGATGACGAGTTCTTGGCAAGGAAGCAAGCTACCGATGGCCTTCACTCGGCCGCTCACAGAAATGAACACTGACAAAGACGGCATCGGACTACAGAAGAAGTGGTTGCATAGCACAAGTGTCACTCATTCATCGCTAGTCCAGGCCAATTTTTATCGTAGCCTGGGCCAATTTCTGGTTCATTTTTGTGTCTTTTTGCCCGTTTGCTGATGTTCTTAATGGAAATGACAAGAAGAAGAAAAACTAGAAGTCGTATTAGGGTGTGTGTGGTAATAATTTCTCTTCATATTTTAAACCTTATCGCTTTTGTTACCAAACTTTTGGAAGGAAATGTTCCATTTTACGGACTTTTAAACGGTTCTGACAAATTCTTCAATTTTTTTCTTCTTCTTTTGTACAGTCACTTTTTGTTCAAACGTGAAAGAAATAATGAGACAAGTTGAACGTTTTCTCTGAATACAAACACATTGAAAGTCTTGTTTCACTTTGTTGTGTCTCTCTTGTGTATCAAAAGATACCATGAATGTAGCACCCATCTGCTAATTCTCTGGACCACTTATCCTGTTTAAAAGAAAGGAATACCATCGACTAAAGACAATACAATACAATAAATACATCCCGATTTATATCGCGTTTTCACAACATCTGCAGCTGTAAGAAAGCGCTTAAGACAAAGTCTTGGATGGGTTTGCCAGGCAATCACAGAGCGTTTAAGTGCGTGAGATACTGTCAGAATACGAATCAAGGGTTAAATAGCGTCACCGCTTTCCACGAATCAACTGTAGTCTGGATCAAATGTGAAAGGAAAATACAGAACGCCAACAGCCATTTCTTACATTGGCTTCGCTTATACTTTTTTTTTTTTTTTTAACTCTTATAACAAACATCTTTTGCATCCGCTTTGCATACCTTTTGACTACTATGACAGACGTTCACATCGGAAATCCAATGCCTGTTTGCTGTTAAATCTTAAATGAGGGTCGGTCAGCATCTCAACATAAATAAGCAGCTCCTACAAACACTCCTGGCTGGTAAAACCGGTGCCACGGCAACGGTGGAAGGATAAAGTGCAGTGACAGAAACTATTCACAACCAAACCAACACTTAAGTTTAGCTGTGGGAAAGGAGATCATACAACCGCCACCTGGATATTAATTTGTACAAACAGTTGTCTATCTGCTGTAAAATAAATATTAATACACAGTGAAATCCAAGTTCATTAATATGGCTTCATGGGACGCAGTGTCTTTACAGTAGTTTGGAACTATTTCAAATGCATTCATTTGAACAATGTTAGTTAGCACAACAAAGCGAGCAAATTGTTTGCGGCGAGAGAATTTTCAGTCATTTTAACTTATATTTTTAAGTTGGGGGACGATACAAAGGAACAATTAGTGCCGCAAACAATTTAATATGAAGGTCTCAGTTGCATGATCTCTGCTGTGAGATGCGGCAAAGCCAATTTTCACAACCGCAAAACTGAATTGCCCAACTTTAAAAAAGTTTGTTGCCTTGAAATTTTGAGTTCACTCATTCCCCCCCCCCAGCGCATGCACTCACTTTGCTTTTTCTTTGGCTATGGGGGCTTTTTGTGATGTCACAATGACAAAAAGAAAAATGATGATGATAACACTAAAATCAGTCATGTGACTTGTGACTGGATGTAAAATACGGTCTGGTACGTCGCAATGAATACATGGTGAGCTTTGATTAATTCTCGCAAAAAAAAATAAAAAATTGGGATGTTCAAAGAGAGTTTTTTTTTTTTTAACTTTATTTTACTTGAACAGAAAAACCCGGAAGTCAACCTTAGATTAGGTTTCAAGTTTGGAGGTCCCTCTGTATACTGCAAGCAATGATGAAGCCGTGTCTAAAAACAAAGAGAAACTTTTATTTGTACTTTGCAGCATGTTTTTTTTTTTTTTTTTTACAAAAGGGAGTTTTCTCCTCGGCGGTATGAACTGTTGAACTGCAAAGCTGCAGAAGCGTTTATACACCCAAAACTCCCCCCGCCACTCACGAAAGAATTTGGCCCCGTCCGCATGAATCGAAGTCTTTAGAAAAAAAAAATGTGAAGGACTTGAAGAAGCTTAACAACAGAGCCTGTGCGGCACTCTCTTGTCAGTGTTCTCACACTCCAGCACTTTGTGATGCTGCGGGCTGCTGATGGGAACCAGCCCCACCAACTCTGCTCAGGGCAACAAAAACTTTTTTATGGTCTTTCAAGTGACATCCACTTTTTTTGTTTCGCACTGTGCAGTGGTTGGGCTTCATTTTTGTTGTTGTTTTTGTGTCGAAATCGGGCACAAAAAAAAAAAATAAAAAAAACCTGACTTCAGTTGCAAACACACTTGACAAAGACAATAGAGGCAAACCTGCCCAAGCTCGACTCTCATGCGCTGTCCCACTAGGTCAGTGGAGCAGTGGAGTTCTTCAAGCGGACTGTAACAATGACCCACAAAGATAAATGCATGCGTTTACCATCTTCACAGAAGTTTCTCCTCTAACAGGCAGCAACTTTGGTCATAATCCTCCGCAGAGACGCTCCCCGGGATCTGCGCTGAGAGACGGGCCATGTTGAGAGGACCGGCGGACAGGTTGTCATCTGTTTCCGTACATCCCCGCGGCAGTCCTGACGGAAGACTGACAAAAGCCGCCTTGTTTCCTCATCGAATTTTTGTGCTCTTGCGGCGCGAGGACGAAAATCAAGTTGTCAAGGAAGTCTCCTTGTTCACGGGCTCTGTGGCTTTCTCTTGAGTGCTTCGAGCAAGCTGGGGGTGAACTGGGGAGAGCGAGAAAGAGAGAGAGAGAGGGAAGGGAAAGAAAGATTGTTCGAGAGGGGGAGGAGAAAAGCTTTCCCTTTTGGAGGAAATCCCCCTGGAGTCTTTTCAGTTTCTTCTCTCTCTCTCTCTCACAAACACACACACACTACATTCACACAGTCCATGCTGGCTTTATCACACACCCAAACACACCCTGAGACATAATATCACCCAAGAGAAACAGTCCACTCTGCACAAACACGGACGGCATGCGTGGCTCTTTCCAAAGAACGGCAATCGCCGCGCGTTGAAGCACACGACCGCGCAGATGTCTCCGCATTTCATTGAGAGAGCAAAAACACCCCTTCGATGTGGCCCCTTTCATTCTATTTTCATCGGCCAGAGCTTTTCGACAAACGAGCCCGTGCCTTTCTCCGCGCGCGGGCCGTCCCCTTCGGGTTTTTTCATTTCCTTCCTTGGGTGATTGTCCTCGGGCAACACAGTCCAGCCTTTGACTCCAATCAAAGACACAAGAGGGGCTTCCTCGCCTTGGGCCGCAGGCTAACCGCCTTCACATTTGACCTGAAGAATGTTGTGGTGTGCCCTCCAGACGTCTACTTTTTAAAACATCTGCGTTTAGGAGACGGCAAGGTGTTTGGAAGCGACATCGGCCCCGCATCGCATTCTCGAAAGGGAAGATTGACAGGCCCGACGCTTATTCCTCTCGGCTGGCTGCCAGAAAAATGAGCGCAAGTGGGGTCGTTTTGATTAGCCTTGAATGTTCCATGAATATTTTGGTTATGATGGGATGGGCCCGTTATGGTAAAGGGCCCAGGTCTGCAGTTTCTTTCATCTTGGTATATTGTAAACAGATGGATGGGTTACAAGTGTCTTTCTGTATTATATGAGCGTACCACTACGTGCATACAAATACTGCTGTTGTGGGAATGATCAAAATGGGTCAGCTTTCGGAAAATCCAACTCAACTGGCACGGACTCGCTGCTCAAAGCAGTATCAAGCGAAGAGCTTGACGTAAAACTGAAATACAATTCAGTCCAATAAAACTCCTTGAGTACATATATCTTGTCGAGGCTAAATCAAAGATTCTCTCCTATCAACGGCAGCCATTTTGTATGCAACAACAAACTTGGACCGCAATACAGTACTTCAAAACGGCCTTGCTAGCCACACTGAGGAGTTAAAAACAATCATACAACGATTGATGTTGATCATGAAGAAAAGAATCAGTCAGCTGTCTTCAAACTGCATGTTAGACAGATACTAAACCCTGAATTGGACACCAGCTAATCGCAAAGCAGACAAACTAGCGTTTGAGCACACGATTGAGAGCCTTCATTTAATTGTTTTGGGAATGTGGGAGGAAACTGGAGTACTCGGAGAAAACCCGCATAAAGCACGTGTGAGGACATGAAAACCCCACACAGGAAGGCCGAAGCCTTTCATGTATTTATTTCGTTTTTTTCCCTGTTCGGTTCACTTGCGCGGAGCACTCCCAGTGGGCATTTTGCTTCAAACTCGATCCATTTCCATTCCTTACAATTGTTTCAGTCAGTTGTATGGTGCTTTTGTTCAGCTCAAGATTCTGTGCCGACGGACATTTCTTTTGTTTGAGACTTAATGCTTCCTTCTGTTAGTTACAAAGCGGTGCTGAGTTTAGCATTTCTTTTTGTCATTCTTGTTGTCTCCTGTTATGAGCTTAGCGCTGGTATTGACAAAATTTCCCTCTGCCAAGAAAGTTGTCCATTTATTGGCATCTGTTATTTTTATTTGTTGGTAAATGGGGTCGCTTGAACAATTGAAAAACAAAATAAAACAACAACAAACAAAAAACAAGGCACATCTATTCTTGAAATTGATGTTTGGACTTGGTAGAAGTCACCAGCGTGTTCTCGTGGTGCGTACTTGGCACGCTGCAATGCCATGGCGATCACAAGATTTTTTTTTAAAGGTTACTCTGCCCATAAATAAATTTGAAATGCCCATAAATAAATTTGAAATGCAACATTGTGAGCATGTTGGTAACATTTGGTGAGATATCAGTCGAGCTGAAATACCGATTCAACAGCAAAATGTTGTCCTCTCGCAATTTGTTTAGTTTCGTTTCACTCATTGTCAAGGTCCAGAGCCATCAAGTCTGCTTGTCCACCAGAATTGTGACAGCAAAATTTCTGATGAGAACGATGAAAGTAGACCACAGCGGCCGTCTCGATGTTTTGATCTCTTTCATGGAAACCAGATGGGCTGTCCATCTAAACCAACAAAGAGTTGTGGTGCAGAAGGTGGCAGGGGAGCTGCTCTGTGTGTCTTGTGACTCAGTCATTTTGGAGATTTGATACAGCGCGCACCCCAAAAAAAATGCAGACATAAACACACGTATGTACGCTCACTTGCGCGCGCACACACCCACACACACGGAGAGAAGCAGAGTAAACCAGACAGGGGAATGTACACACAGATAGAGAGCGAGACTTCCAGACGGAGAGCCAAAGGCAGGAAGTTTGAAGAACACACCCAAGTGGGTTCATTAAGCAGCCGTATAAACATGCTCTGCAGTTTCTTAAATAATGTACAGACATAAACACGCACTGTACAACGCACAATGGCAAACAGGCCCTCAGCAGCAGACATTCTTTATCCACCCCTCCACCGCCCCCCCGCCTGCTCCTCCACCCTCCATCCTAGTGGGAGCAAACAGGACCCCCTTCAGTGATTTCCTTCACGCGGCCAGCAGAGCACATAACCTCTCGTGCACACTGCCGAGTCTATAAACCGTGAGTCACAGTGAACATGCACTCTAATCTCATTATGGGAGTATGGGAAAGCATCAGCTTGTGTCTGCATGTGGCGCTCCTGGACTCACAGGCCTATATTACATGTATTAGAAGTCGTTTTATTATCACACAAAGTGGGCGGGGGTAAGCTTTGGGACTAATGGCGCTTTCCTTCGGAACATCACAATGGCATGATTATAAAATGTGCTGCCTCGGTTATGAATATGTGAATAGATGGTCAATCACGCGGTCGGTAATCCAGTGGTTAGCGCATCGACCTCACAGTGCAGAGGTACCGGGTTCGATTCCGGCTCCATCCTTCCTGTGTGGAGTTTGCACGTTCTCCCCGGGCCTGCGTGGGTTTTCTCCGGGTACTCCGGTGTCCTCTCACATTCCAAAAACATGCATGGCAGGCTGATTGAACACTAAAAATTGTCCCAAGGTGTGAGCACGAATGGTTGTTAGCACCCGCCCCCTCCCCGCCCCCCACCCCGCAACCCTTGTGAGGATAAAAGCGGATCAGAAAATGGATAGATGGTCAATCACTCCTGTGACAGGATGAAAGACATGCCCAAAAGGGCACACGGCTTGTTGCACTTTCTCAGCCCTTATCGGCGTGCAGATCTCCTGCTGCCATGACATCATTTCCTGAGTGAGCCGGGCTGTCGAGATCAGCTTGGGCTGGGGATATTTGCTTGTATAAACCACCTTAAGCAAACAGAGGCATCTGTCTCCACCACAGATGTTCCCTTTGCGTGAGCATATACTCTCAACTTTCTTTTAAAGGAAGACTTTTAAGCCTGTTTTGAGCCACATGAGTCACTTGAGAAAAATGAGTGTGATCTGAAGAAAGAGGTGTACAATATAAGGGACATTCCAACGGGGTTAAGTGAGACTGTGTGTGTGCTCCAGAATTTCTGGCACACCTTTTTTCGGGGTCAGATTAATATTAGCTTTGTGTTTAGACAAATTGTAGTTATGGTTACAGCACATGAATGAGGTTACATTTGAGTGTTGCGGTTCGGCACGTAGCTGTGAGTGATGTCTGCGATTGCGCTTTTCTCTTGCTGTTCATTCCAGCGCAGTAAAACCCGTTTGCCAACTATGAGTGATGAGTCTTAAAATGTTCCCAAACTTTCTTGGAAGTGTAAAACCCATCCTGATTTTTTTTTCTTCCCCTTCATATCACACTCACGTCACGCTGTGAAAGTAAAACTTCATACGCTTCGCGATTATCATCTCATGTGAAAATGCCTCAAATCTGAACATGAAGAGCCTTTTGAATGCCAAGGTAATGTTTGGTTTTTTTTTGTCAGTGTGACTTATTTGGTGGTATTCATTTAGGATGAACAAGAAAATGACGAAACGGAAATCATAGCGATAAACCGGCCTACACAGTGCACTCATGTCCTCTGTTGATACTCGGCGAAGCAGCTCGGTTATTATCTAGGTTATTCCCTTCTCATGTTATTATCTCATAAATTCCCGTTGATCGTAAATCCACAACACAATCTTCAATCCCTTTTAGAGCACAATGTTCTTCCACTGCACATCTCAGTCAGAAGCAACGCAGTCTATAAGCTCTGTGTTTGTGGTATTGTACGAGGGTGAGAGCTTATCAAAATGGATCGCGGAGAGGAAAAAGATAAAAAATAAAAGTCCTGCGCACTGTTGAACGGGATTGATACAATGAGGGCTTGCCAAAGTGGGAAGTTCCTCCAGTGGGAGAACTTTGGGTTCCATGTGGTTTCGTGATTTGACATCAATCTTCAGCATAGCTAATGACTACGCAGTGCTCATCTGAGACAGCAATTGTTCTGGCAGAGATACGTTTGGATATAAACTTTTTTTTTTTTTCATGTCAGTGGAACAAGGCAAGCTTTTGGTTAAGACTTAATTGGGACCCCCCCTCCGATTACATGCAGATGTAAAAACGCAGCGCGGCCAAGGCGCTTGAACATTTCCACATGTTTTTGGTCGGTCCGCTTTTTTTTTTTTGTCCTGATGTGTTTTCCTGAAAGGCACAACACTGGGAGGTTCGAACCTCAGTTGCTCAGAGGTCAACTCATGAGGAGCAGGTGTTCAAGTCACCGCGGTTGACGAGACAGACAGAAATGGCTGCGAGATGAGTCAAAACAAAGTTCCGACGCTCATTAATAATTCCAGTGGTAAGTTGTGATCGTTGCTGTTGTTGTTGTGATGGTTATTATGGTTTTAGTGATTTTGTCGCAGATGTTCTAGTTGTTTTTTTTTTAATGTTTGTTGGGGGTCGTTATTGTTTTTATAGGGTCGTTGGTTTTGTTGGGGGTGGGGTTGTTCTTGTGGTTGTGATGGTTGCTCTCAATGTGTTATTTGTCGTTGTCGTTGTTGTGGCTGCTGTGATGTGACGATTGCGAGGTTTTCATCTCAATCGGTTATTGTGTCCACCTGTTCTCGTCAGCCCGCTCACCTTGTGTCTTCCAAACAGAGCTCCCTCGGCCACTTGTCTTGACCGGGTGCGACTTGTTGTCTTGTGAGTTTGTTTCTATTTTACTTCCCTGATTTATTTCCGTCTTGGTGGGTTTATTGTTTTGTGTAAGTTGTCCAAGACAAGTGGAGTCTTTTTTCCAAGTGTTTGTTTGAGGGTAATTTTGGAATTATGAATACAATGTTGGTTTTGTTCTTTTGGAAAATAAATACTTAAGCATCCCGCCTCTCTGCTGAACTTGGGTCCACAACCATGCCGAACAGTTACCCTTAATCCACTGGGGGTGCTCCCAATGTATTCATTGTTGCAGGATACACGTTTGACCACTAGATGTCGTATTTTATCTACTTTCTCATTTATGGTACACTCACTTCCATGGTCATTTTCTCTCCAAGATCTA